AGGGTAAAAAACATACAAAAAGAAAGATGGAAAAAAATCTACCAATTTAAAAATGTTGTCCACCCTAGGATGGAATAGATTATTTATCACCATGGTAAAGATTCAATATGTGTTTACTGCATGAATAATCCTGCTTACATTCAGCCAGGCATTGCAAAGAAACATTGTATTAAAATATTTTTAAAAAGGTAAAAAGAAAAAATCTGCTTCACTATTGATCCTTGAAATGCCTGGGTTGGAATGCACAGGTCCACTTATAAACAGATTTTTTACAGCTCCGTACTGTAAACATATTTCCCCTTTCTTACAATTTTCTTATCATTTTCTTTTCTCTAGCTTACTTTATTCTAAGAATACAGTATATGATACATGTAAGACAAAATAGGTGCCAAACAACTGCTTATGTTATCCATGACTTCCAGTTTACTATTTCCATCAACAGTAGGCTATTAGTAGTTAAGTTTTGAAGGAATCAAAAGTTATATGCATATTTTCAACTATGGCAGGGGCATGTTGGTACCCCTAACCGCTGTATTATTCAAAGATCAACAAACAGTATTTCCAATTTTTTACAACTGCCAAGCTCAATAAAAAATGAATATATCTTAATATTTTTTAATGTTTATGTGGGTTTTTTTTTTGTTTTTTTTTGAGAAAGAGACAGAACATGAGTAGGGGAGAGGCAGAGAGAGACACAGAGACAGAGAAACAGAATCCGAAGCAGGCTCTGAGCTATCAGCACAGACAGCATATGTGGGGCTCAAACTCAAGAGCTATGAGATCATGAGCTGAGCCAAAGTCAGATGCTCAATCAACTAAGCCACCCAGGTGCCCTTGAATATATCTTTTTAAATACAGTGATAATGAGTATGTCAATATGGTCATTTGAAGAGGGTACCCCATGACTTGTATATACCAGATTACTTTGATCCATTCCACAAAAATGAATGAGATCAGGTTTGGCTAGGGTGTATAAAACTCCACTCATACTTTCCTGTTCACAGCTCTACTTTAGAAAGCTAAGACCCTCCATCAAAAAAGAAAAAGAACTGCAGAGAGGGGATTTTACACACACACACACACACACACACACACACACACACACACTCTCTCTCTCTCTCTCTCTCTCTCAAAAAGAAATGATTTTATATGTGGCATTAAGAGACATCAAATTCTGGGTTTTTATATAAATCACGTTCTATACTTTCTATCAACTATTTTCACTAGATTTAATTAACTTCTTTTTAAAAAAATTATAGGGATTCATTCCTATGAACATCTTAAATTTTAATCAAATCACCATTTAAAGGCAAAAAATTCAGGCACAAAGGGTGGTAATGAACAAAGCTTGGGCTATGAAGAAAGACCAAGTTTGAATCCAGACTATTACTCGCTAGCTGTGTGACTCTGAATAACTCATTTAGCTCCTGAGTTTGGTTTTCCATTATCTGTGCAACAGGAAGAAGAGCTTATCGTGAGAATGTAAAGCAATCTAACACAATACTGGATGCAGAACAATATTCAAATTTCATTTTTCTTTCTTTTCTTCAGGAAATATTATTTTTTGACCAAGAAGAGGGAGTAATTTTAGAACATGAGATGGTTGGTTATCTGGATATGGTGGAGGTCCCTGAATTGCTAAGGTACAATATGAAGGAAAAGAATAGCAATTACCAGGGTAGAGGAGGAAACTGGGATAAGGAAGCCACATATAGACATACTACTTGCTACCGAATGTCATGCTTTAAAACTCCCTCTACTTGGGCACTTGTGGGGATGAGCACTGGGTGTTATATGGAAACCAATTTGACAATAAACTATTTGTAAAAAATTAAAATTAAAATTAAAAAAAAAAACACCTCCCTCTACCCAATTCAATCTCTCCAATCTAGGTTTGTCCAATCTTGCACACTCAACCCTTGCCTGTCACTGCCACTTTCTAAGTCTAGAGTAAAGAATATGCAGGAAAAAATAAACAATTGACAGTGTATACTCTTGGCAACATCTTTCCTCTGGGATCCCCTTCCTCCCCTTTATTATTCTTTCAGTATGTACCTTTCTTAGAAATAGCAATCCTTATGAATATAAACAGATCTCCTGTGCAAAAACTTAACTATCAAATTCTAAGCACCAAGATCCTAGAAAGGATCTTTCAATGGTTTCTTTGAACATACACATTTAATCAAGTACAGAAACCTTTGTGATTTTATCTTAAAACCACTTAAGGGCATAATCAAAAGGTTTGAGTATCAAACAAAGCCACCTATCCATAACACATCCTGTTCACAAAAGTGTCCCAGAAACTCGATATAAACAAAATCCTTCTGTTTATTTCCAGAAGATAATACTGTGGTTTTCTGTATCCAACTGTATGCCTTACATACACAAGGCAATTATGTTTTCTTCCTCTACTCAAACAGAGCATCTGTTGCTAACACAACACTGAAGTCCAAGTTATTTTCACAGACAAAAAAGCAGCTGGTCAAGCTAATCCATCTGCTGACTAGCCACCATCAAGCTTCTGTAAGACTGTCCAGTTAACTTAACCTCTATTGTCAGGCTGTATGAGTCAGAATTCCAAATCCTCTTTCAATTAGGATTTAACAACTCTTCTCTGACACCACCATTTGAAGTCACTTATTACAGACAGAAAAATAGAAAACATATTTTAAAATTTAAGGACATATTTTGAAAAAGGTTAAAAATGGTAGACTGGATTAGAAAAAGTTGTACAAATCATCAACAAAAGAAGAAAGTTATTTTGAAGGTGGGATTATGAATTTCCTAACAATAGCTAGCAGTACTTATATATGCTAGGCATCAAGGATTTTTAAAAATTAACATGATCCTTACAATAACTCTTTGAGGTAAGTACAATTGTTATCTCTATTTTATACATGAGAAAATGGAGACACACAGCAAATTACCCAAGCTCATCCAGCTCAGAGATAGTAGGAGGATGGGAGACCTGACTCCAAAGCCATCCTCTAATAATTCGAACCTCAAATCCCAATGCCTTACTAACGGGTATATACATATTCAAGCCATCCTCACCATTTTCCTTGCAATAACTAAAGTACCATCCTTGCTACTACTTTCGTTGTAACATTTTATAATGCGTTAGAAAAATCATGCCAAGGGTATACTACTTACTTAAAAATAAATAAATACACAAGTTAGTTCATTATTAGTTGACATATGTAAGCGATTCTGCAGTAATTCAGACGGGAAAAATGCTCAACTTCATAGCAATAAATTGGTTATAAACATTAATACCAGATACTTGCTATAAGCTGTAAAACAAAGAGTTTTACTAGAATAATATTTGATACCAATAAATGAAATTCAACACATTTTTTAACATTAAGAAACTGCTTTTCAAAGTTATCACAAAGAACACCTAATTCTCTGCCACCTCTGGGGAAAGTGCACATGGTACTTGTAGGTGCTTAAAAACACCATATGAATTGAGACAAATAAGTTCAAATCTTAACTTCATGGATAGTGGTATGACTTTGCAGAAGCCACAACTTCCAAGTCTTGAGTCCTTAATCCATATTAAATACTCCTTAAAATTCTATTTTATAACAGAGTATTTTAGTACTTTGTAAATATTAAAACACTTAACACTTTTTTCATAATGAATTACTTTAACTGATTTTTACAGTACCTCTATAAAATATTCTTATTTCCACTGCATAAATGAAGAAATAGATTAATCACAGTTAAGTAATTTGCTCCGGAGCACAGAGCTAGTAAATAGCAGCATGGAACTCAAGGACTCTGATTCTCTGCTCTTCCATTTGCCCTGAACTAACGTCCATTCAGCTATCATGTGACTTCTACCTAAAAAGTTAAATAAGCCGAGACAGGTTTTTACAAATTTAGGCAGGGATGTTTTACACACATATATTCAAAACACACGAAATGTAATTTTTTATGGATGTCTTACAGTACGGAAATAAAAATTACGTTTACCCAACTGAATTTCAAGATGCATGCAATCAAATTATGTGCACTTTTGTAAAATACAGTAACAGTCCATGCTTAACACATCACTATACTATTCTCCCGTGCCCCCACTGCTCCTTGAGGTGGTGAATTCAGGCAAAACTAGAGAAAACGTTGTTCTAATAAGTCTTTCCAGTGCTTTCTATCTAATAATAGAAAAGAATGGCCTCTTGGATATGCCCTGGTTTTTCCCTGCTACATTATTAATAACACTTGTGTTCCCTCTTCTACTGTACTATACTTCAATTACTATCATCTAACAAAGAGAACAGGGTGGTTAATAATCTATACAGGGATTATGACTGCCTACTAATAACTCTCATTGTATTCAAAACACTGGCTATGTTCTCAAAACATTTTTTTTTCTTAATTGAAATTACTAGCTCCTTAACTTGTTCGGAAAGTATACAACAGGCCACAACAGTCATAAGGTAACCGTGACCAGAAACAAACTGGTCGAAAAGGGTGGGACCGCTGCCCACTGTCTCTTCCCCCAGTTCAACCAATACCAAACACCAAGACCTGCTGCCGAACTGGTCACGAGGAAGGTGGGAGTGGAGCGCGCGGCGCTAAGCAGATTCGGTCCCTGACCTAAAGCGGCGTGCATCGTGCTGAGTCGGCGTCAGCAGGTAGACCCGTGCACCTCGGCTGGTGCTCAGGGAGGGATAAACCCGCGCCTGCACGCGGGGAGGCTCCAGACTCAAACGGGGCCTGGAGCGCTGCAGAAAATGATGCAGGAATCGGGACAGCTCCCTTCTTCTCCGCAGGAGCCAGGGCCCTGGGCCAAAGGCCAGCTGGGGTCACCGGGCGCGGTCCCCGCAGCCTGCTCCCACCGGGGAACGAGGGAAAGAGCGAGGGAGGGCAGCAGCCTGGCCCTCCACCGCCGAAGCCCAGCCTGGCCCAGCGCGCCCGCCGCCCACCGGCCCCGGGCGCCCCGCCCACCCTCTCCACAACCTCGGCCGCCCCGCGCGCCTCGTTCTCCCACTTACTTTCTGGGAGTCCATGGCCAGGGGCTATGTCCACTGGGCCCGAAGCCGCGTCGAAAACCCTTGAGGCGAGGCGGAGGGAAGTCGGGCAAGCCAACACTGCTGCCCGCGGCCGCCCCTCTCCTCCGCCGCCGCCTCAGCCTCAGATAGCACCGACCCCGCCCGGTCCGCGCCCAGCCCGCGCGCGCGCTGTCGTCGCGCCGCGGTTGCCAGGGTGAAAGGGCGGCTCGCAGGAGGGAGGGAGCCGGAGCGCCCCGCGCATGCGCGCTGCCGCGGGACGGGATGGGGTAGAAGGTGTCCGACGCTGGGTGGGAGGGGCAGAAACCGGTGGTCCTGCGGGTCCATTGACCAAGCCTTTCCTTCCTTACCGCATCCTTTTCCCTTCAAGGCTCGCGATCGCTGCAGCCCTTGGAATGCGCCGTTGGGAGTCCAGCCGCAGGGCGGTGGGAAGGGCTGGGGAAGGAAAGCTCTGGCCCTTGAGATAGATCAGCCCCCTCTCCATCCTGCACGCAACTAAAGCACTCCTGATGTTGGCCGCCGCTGAGGAGCAGCCAGGCTAAACAAGCCCACTGTCCAGTGAGAAGGAAAGGGCCGGGGTGAGGGATGTGTGGAAACATGGGAAAGGCCTGGAGGAACGTGTCAGAAACATGGCGGAGTCTGGTAGACCTTTGCCAGGAAGCCCACCTGGGCATCTTGCTGTGATTTTTGAGCAAGCCACTGTCCCTGAGCCTATTTCATCTTCCATAAAATAAGATTAACAATGATGACTTTGCAAAGCATTGTGAGGACTAAATAATGTATTTGAAGTGCCCAGTACATAGTTAATGACCAGTAAATTTTAGTTGTGGTGGAGGGCTAGAACCCGCTCAGTCTGGTCTGAAAGGACCGTGCAGATTGTAGAAAGCTTGGGGAAGTAGGCTTGAAAATATTCTCCCTGCAGAAAGGCCTCATCTTCCATTTTGATGACTCTGGAATGGCTCAGAAAAGTTCCAACTAGGCAATTGCTCATGATGAAGGAACAGAAGGGAAATATATATTGAATATCTATTGGGTACCATTTCTCTGAACTGAGAATTCAGCAGTGACAAGGCCCTGCTCTCACTTGCAGAGCTTATAATCTAGTATGGAAGGCAGACCAAAAAAAAATAAATGTATACATATAGTAAATAAATGTAAACATATATATTTATATATACACACACTATAGAAGCACTATAAATATATGTTTATTAACACATAAATGTAATTTATACACACATATATAAATATACACGTGTGTGTGTTTATATATATAAATTACATGGGGTAAATGCACTCAGAGAATTATGAGGGCTCCATTTTCTATAAGTTCAGAGAAGGCCTCTCTCAGAAGTGATCTGTGTGAATTGAGAGAATGAGTCATACAAATATTTGGGGAAAAGCATTCTAGATAGAAGGAACAGCAAATACAAAGGCCCTGAGAGGGCATGAACTCTATTTAAGAAACAGCATTTATCCTAAAAGGCTATAATTACCTCTATGCAATTATACTCTGTACTATGACTTCCATGAAGGTCGAAATTTCTTTTACTCATATCTGTATCCCCAGCATGGGTCCTGCCTTCTAGTCTGCACTCAATAAATTCTTTTTTTTTTTTTAACTGGACAGACATGTACAAGAAATGGGATGAAGAGCACAAAAGGGAAAACAGGGACTTGGCGCAAACTAGGTGGGTAGTTCCTGAAGGCCAGGGTCCAGGGAGGGCCTATTTTGCTTCTGCAGCTGAAAGGAGTAATGGTGTGCAAACTTGCAGAGAGATGCTCCCTCTCTTTGTATCAAGGGAAAGGTGACTCCTTTGCAAGCCACCCCAATTCCATGAGGAGAAGTGAGGGCAGCCTCTCTTCTCTGCACTGATGACTCACTGCAGCTGAGTCAGTTTCCTGTGAGGGAAAAATGCAGTCTAGGGATCCTAGAACATTAGAGGTCAAACTGCCCAACTGTGAGCTCCCTAGCTGTGACCCTGCCTTCTACGGTGGGATCACTAACGGGGGAAAAAACAGCGTTCAGCTCTGTCCCCAGTTCTCCTGCTGCAAGGACTTAACTTCAGAGAGCAGCTCCTGGGCACTTTATGACTGATGGGTATAAGCACAGGAGGAGACAGAAAGAGGCTTTGGAGACAGCAAGTCTCAGCTGAAATGTGATCGCCAGAATTCTGTCACAGGTCATATCCCAAGAGCTCGCTCCTGGCTCCTTGCCTCCTCCCTCCCCTAGTTCCTTCCCTGCAGCCCAGCCAGGAGCCTACAGCTTTTGACAAGAGTTCTGCCCCATTTGACTTCTGCCCTTGCCAGACCTCTGTTTCTTTAGGCAGTCTGACTTCCCTGGCCAGCTCACCGAGGCCTTCTGCCTGCCCTTGTTCCTGTCCCTTCTGGCTGTGACTTCTATCTTCTCCAGCCTATACAGGCTCTCTGGCAGCAGGACTCACCTGGCTGGGCACTAAGTCTGCACCCTCAACACACTCCCACTGCTTCTGGCCTATGGGCAAGTCCTCTGCCTTTTCTGTGCTTACCTTTTCACAGCCAAGTCAGTGAGGAAATTTTCAAAAGTAGCTTTACTAATAAAGTAAAGCTGCTGTTCTCAAATGTAATCCCCAGACCAGCTGCATCAGCACCACCTGGTAACTTGTCAGAAGGGCAAATTCTCAGCCTTCATCCCAGACTAACTTAATCAGATACTCTGGCATGAGGGTGCAGAAATCTGTGTTCTAACAAGTCCTCCAGGTGATTGGTGCACACTAAAGTCATGGAACCATTGAACTAAGAAAAAGCAAATTGTTAAAAAAAAAAAAAGGGGGGGGTGGGACTACAGAGGCATAAAAACCAATGATGTTTTAACCCTTAGGTGTCAATTCTGAGATAGCATATCTAGTCATGGGTATTTACTGAGGTTCCTGGGCCTCCAGAAATACCTAGCTGAGGAAACATCAAATTAGAATAACCTCAGGATTGGCACTACTGATGTGAAGTGTCTGGCAAAATTTGTCTTCCAGAACAGGTTCTCTACCCTCTCTTGCCAGGCATTACTCCTGCACCCTGAGTACCCTCCTGAGTTCTGGGATTCCCCCATCTCTTGGGAGAGAAAGTTCCTTCCCTTAAGTGGTGCCAACAGGGTTCTCCTTTGGGAGTCAGTATAGGCCAGGGGGCTGGACTCAGCACGTCTGAATTAAAAGCCTGACACTGCCACCTACCAGCTGTGTAGCCTTCGGTGACTCTTTTAACCAAGATAAGCCTCAATTTCCTCATCTGTAACATAATGATCATGGGTAGTAATTCCCAGTTATGGTTGTTGTGGGGATCAAAGGAGATTACACATGCAAAGTGCCGGGTTTAGGATGTATTTAACAAATGCATGGCTATTACTATTATTACTCCCCTGTACATCATATCCTTCTGTGCCACCCTTGGATGGCTTTTTCCCTCTCGATCTTTAGGGCCTTAGAAGCCCTATTTTCAACCCTAACTCCCATTTTCATCACTATCCTAGCTTTTCTAAAGCATAATCACAGTCCACATGTGGCTCTTTGTTGAAGCCTCAAATCTCTAACCATCTCTCCCTGTTCATATCTGGCCGCATCTTAGCATACAACACCAAACCCAGGAAAACCCTGAGTTTCTCTAAGCCTCAGCTTCTTCAGTTGTGAAAGAGGCATCATACAGGACCACCTACAAGGGTTTTTTTGTTGATTAAATGAGATAATTCATGTTCAATGTTTAGCAGCATCTGTCATATAGTAAGTATTAAAAAAATATTAGCTATTATCTCTTCCCAATGAGAGAAACCGAATTCTTTCTCCCTCCTGCCTCCTTCTGACTAAAAACAAACTCAACCAAAAGTCCTGGACCCCCTTGAACTCAGAGTACTAATTTCTGATCCTAGGAACTCACTATAGACGTTTACATCCTCATAGGAACGAAAGGATTATTCTATTCTGAGGTGAGCTGGCACTGTATGGGGTGGTCTAGCTCCGTATTTGGAGAGCTCAAGGAAAGTGGGAAGCAATCAGTGTACACAAACATGAGAAAGGGCCTGAAAACTACGTGAGAGAGACACAATCAAAGCACCTGTGGGGATTTAGCCTGAAAAAGAAAATTTCTCATGTCAGAGAGGACATGATCATTTACTTCAAAACTCTCTAGGGCTGTTGTGTGGATGAGGGGGCTGACCTGTTCTCTAGCATCCCACAGACAGAATTAGACCCAATTAGTGTAAGCTACAGGAAGATAGATTTCCAATCAACAAAAAGTCCAACTTTCTAACAGCCATACAGAGCTGGAATGGACTTTGGTGGTGAGGTCCCCATCAGTGGAGGTATCCAAGCAGGGGCTAGGCATTTGCTTGTCAGAGCTTGCCTAGGGGGATCAGGCAGTGAAAGGGTAGATGGCAGAGATAACTTTTAACGTCTTTCTGAACCCTGAGGTTCTGTCATTCTGCAAATTAGAGGCCAGTCACTATTCATTCCCTTTCTGACTCAGCTTTGCAATTGTACTCACCTCTGAAATGCGCTCTGAATCTCTTCTCCCCACCCCCACTCTCATATGCTCCATTGCAAGAGGCCTCTCTCCTTCCTGGGATGGGCATGCAGGGGAGCAGTTAACTAAACTGTAACCATTATGATGTTGCTATGTCACAATACCTTCTCTATGCATGACGACTTGCTTTAGATGAGGCACTGGAGACACTGAAATGAGTGAGAGGACTGGAAGAAACGGGTGTTTTCATTGCCTCCTGCCTTGGCTCTCAAAACGCTTCTGGACTCATCTAGTTCGGAGAATGACCAAGGGCAAAGCAAATTTATCTGTCTGTTGATCTCTTCATTGTAAAAGGATGCTGTCCAGCCCCACCCCACCCCCCAGGTCTCTCCAACACAGAGTAACAGGCTCCCTGTTCCTATCGAGAACATTAGTCAGCAGCCCTTCTTTCTCTGCATGTACTCTGATAATGATGTGGGCCAATTTGAGACTGAGTGAATGAGACTAGGGAGATAAAGGGCCACAGTGAATTGACCACACTTCCATTTCATCGGCCAACCATCCAGGTACTAATACCAGACTGTCTGAATTCAAAAGCCAAGTCTACCATTTACCAGTTGTGTCGCCTTGGGTG